CTTTGAAAGATAAGTTTACCCTTCGTCCTTATTGTAGCCCCGGTGACGCTCTGCCCATCCTAAATGCAAGTAAACTAGTACCAAGCCCGAACTCACTATTATGGGACACCTGAGCATCTCACTCACCGACTCTAAGCAATCGTATTATTGGGTACAACAAATACAGATGGTCGATTGCTACAGGGGCAATTATTTCGAACTATCTAGAGAGTGGCACCATAGTTGACAAGTATTAATTACCATAATTCAGTTGTGGTAATGAGTATTCACGAAGAACCTACAAATCGAATAATACTTTGTTGCTGCATGTACCAAGCGTTCATATGAAGGTACAAAATTTACCGAAAGCCATCGCATATTCTCCTCATAATGCAACTCATATCTAAACTTGTAATGAGGTCATAGTGGCGCCCCTCCCGACTCCGTGTGCTCGATGGAGACATCTTCCAACCTGAATCGAACTTCCACTTACCCAAGGTCTGTAATAAGGCAAGGGAGCCGCAACTAATGATAAATATCAATGATGAAGTTGAAATGAATCAGGCAGTAAAGTAGACTAGATTCATAACTAAGGAGAGTGTTATAACAGAGCCCTAAATGTGTGGGAGACGTTGAAGTTAAATGAATCGAAGTGAAGTGGGTTATATTCTATTTAAGATAAATGTTTAGTTTGACAAATACAAAACACCTCGAAATATTGAAGAAAGTCAAATGAATATAAAAACAAAGAGGGTTCGGTTGTGTTTTACATCGCTCTTCCAATTCAATCGTGGTAACGAAAATGACTGTGAACCATCCAATTAATAACGCGGTAATAAAATACACTACTGCTTCGTCTACAGAGCGTAAATGAAAATCGATAAATTTATCGAAATGTACCACATAGTCTTCTCATAATTACGACTCGAAATGACGTTCATAGTGAATCTACAATGACACCTGATAATGTCACTCATAGTCAATCTATGACGACTCCTACTCGTTCAGATATTGTGACTAAGCAAGATCACGACTACAAGAGCAATGATAGCAGGGATGAAACCGCATTGAGTCGAGTAACAAAGTAAGCTAGATTCATACCTTATGTGAGTGTTTTAATTTGATCTTATAGGCGCCCTGAAGATGTTGAGTAAGTTAAATGAAACAAGAAGCAAAGCAAAGTTGATTCATTCGTAAGGTAGACGCTCCTAAAGATGAATTAGAGTACTTACAATCAAACCCTCAAAATCCAGACGCATGTGTTTGGCGAAAATCAAAAGAAACATTTTCCTCGACTTATTACAACCGTCTTGTACATGTGCAGGATCGTGAGCGAAACTTCCACCATTTCTCCAAGCAACGCTCACGCAGAAGATTCATCGATGGCGCCATCGACGTTTCTAAATATAGGAAACGCCTTTCCTATTCCCTATATGAAAGGAGGTGCCAACATTGCTTTTAACGAGTAATTGTTGCAAAACCTCCTATACAAATAGGCGAAAAAGTTTCTATCATAATTAAACAGACATCATGGACCAATCAAACCCTTATGAATTAGTCTGTTTTTGTAAGAACATAACACTATTGACATCAAATACATTATTATTTATAACGTTTCAAAATTACCATATCATCCATATATATGATAAATGGTCGCAGAGGAAGCCTCAACTTCAAAAATCACGTAACACGGGCAGAGCATGACATTACGCTCACACAATGATGTCCCATTCGCAAAGGGGATTGGATAAAAGGACCTAAACCTAAATGTATTTTTTTACCAAGATAAAAAAAAACAGATCGATAGCGATTTGATTCACTCGGTCACAAACACGTTAAGAATCAGGTGATAAATCCGATTCACTTTGCTTGTGAGAATTCGCACACAAATTATAGTTATAGAATCCGTGCAAAATTCACACACGTCGAACGTTACTTCCCAAAGAAAAGAGAATGAAAAAGTAATAAAAAATCCGAAAGCGAAAACCAAATAGAATGCAATCGACATTGTCCAAAACAGCCAACCACATAAATTGAAAACGTGAAACCTTCAACATCTGCCCCACTAACCATGAATCAGACTCATATACTCGATGGACCAGTCAGAGCATTCACTTATAAAAAAAAATGAAGCTCTTCGTTTTCATGCAACGATCATCCCGCCCCGCCTTTTCACACATTTTCAACTATTTTGGATTTCGAGTGCACAACAACCATTCGTTCCTATATTAAAACAACGAGTTATAGCGCAACCTACGGGCTGTGAATTGAGTAAATCGGTAAGAGCAATACCCTTCTGCAACTTTTTGGGTTCGACCTATCGAATTGAAACAGTCATGCATGACAACCATAACAAAAGTATGTGAAAAACGGTCGGAAATCAAAGTGGGATAAAAAAACCCTCGATTTTTTTTATCCTTCTATTTAGCATAAACATGTTTTTGTGTTTTGTTTTTAAACTACCACTACCTTTCAGGCTGGGATGCTAAGTCGCAAAATGAGCATTGTCGGTACGAATACCCTTGCAAGGGTATCTGTCATAGTTTTGTAAAGTGGCAAAGATGAGTTTTGATTGAAAATTGAATGCGAAAGTTGGGTGCGCTGTGCGACTTGTGGCCAATTGTTTTTTTTCATGACAAACTGAGTGCTTAGAGGAGAAAAAATAGGGAGGGCGTGGGCGCGCAACTTTGAAAGCGCGAATGATCTCGTTTTTTTGTTGATGTTATAAAGTTAGCGTATATGTGGGTCAACTTTTTACTTTTGATAAAAAAAGGGACTAAGTGAGTTTTCCTTTGGTCGACGCATTTGACCATGGCGTGTGTGCTCGTGCGGAGGCCAGTGTCGACGACGGTGATACTTTGGTTTAATAGAGAGGTGCGTGCACGGGGCTTTAGATGGAGCCCCGTTCCTAGGGTCAAAGGCGTTTAGCCGTCGCAGAGTGTCGAAGTCCGCCTACCACTCTCCCGCGTTGTATGCGAAAGAGGGTAGGTTGGACAATCGAACTCGCGATTGTCTAGCGTCAAGAGATCAACCCTTGAAGACACGTGTCCGCCGCCACTTGAGTGTTGAAAGCGAACCTCATAATTATTGAGGGTCGCATAGTTATAGGTACCACAAAGTACGCCATCACTGCGACTACTTGCGTATTGATGCATGGCTAGTGAAGATGACAAGACCTACGTCGCCGTGATATTATTTAGAGTCTCGCGGGTGACATTCACTATTTTCTGTTGCTGAAAGGTTATGGGTCGAGAAAGAAGGTTAACGGATACCCTAATTTTCAGACCACATGCCATGCCATTTATAAAAAAAACAAAGAGTCGTTTTAATCTAACTTGCCACCAATTCATAGACTGGAGAGTATACTAACTAACTGCAAAAAAAAAATAATAAAAATAAAAAAATAAAAAAAAATAAAAAACATAAAATTTGACCCCCAAACCCTAATTTTCATTTTGGACCCGTTACCCAGGGTTTGAAAATGGGGGTCCCCGTTAACCACTTTGGGTCGGATGTGAAAAAGAGATCAGACACGAATTATGTCTGGAATTTGGTTTTATTTCGTGAGGTGTATCGTGTGGTTAGATGAACCGTCTTACTGGATCGGAGCAGAGCCACGCTTGGGAGATCAACCCCCAAAGCCTTAGTTCGCGTACGCCCTCGGCTGGCCACCTCTGCTATTGTACTCGAGCAACTTTTCACATAGGGCGTTTCTCGTGCGTTGTAGCATAGGGGGTTCGCGTACTTACCCCCTATGCTACAACGCACGAGAAACGCCCTCAGCTGGCCACCTTTGCTATTGTACTCGAGCAACTTTCGCACGTGGTTCGGTAACTCGGTGGGGATACACCTGTCCAAGGGTGGTGACAACCCCTTGGACAGAGGTAAGTTGTGCCTCGTGTGCCCCCTATCTTGTCGTAGGGGTTCACGAGAGGTGCGGCTGGCGCACTCGGCGGAGTGAGGAAAGCTCCCTTGCGAAGAAGTCCTGCAAAATCCTGCGTGCGGGACCGATGTGCTCGACATCATCATTTAAAAAAAATGCTGCCGGGCTGCAACGGTGGCACCCGACCTCCGAATTTGAATTACGAGTGCCGCAGCCCCACATATGAGAAAGGTAGTGGTTGTTGAAAAGAGAACTTTTATTACTCATGGCCCAGTGCCCAAGGCCTGTACAACGTCACCAGAATCCAGGACAACCAGGTTGACCTGCCCCTCCAGGGAATGAGAGCCTTTTCCCAGCCCAATGCGGTCTCCAGACCAACCAACCAGGCACCGCCCCGACCAACACGCTCGACATCTTTCGTAGAAAAGGCCCAAAAACCAGCGAAACGGATTAGAGGGTGCAGTGCCCAAGGCAAAGTACATAGAAATATGCAAGAGGCTCAAGTTTTTACTGGTGGCTTACCTATTCATCCCCATTTTCTTTTTCTGCTCAGAAATCAAATTTCATTAAGAAAGGGATAATTTGCAGAATACCCCCATAAGTTGAGGTATGTACTAAAATGCCCCTAAAAGATGTGGGTAGAGCGGAATGCTCCTCTGACAATTCTTTTTTTTGTGAAATACCCCTGGCGTCGGCTGGACTCCAATCCTTGCAATATACCCCTACCGGGTATCGTCCAACCTTGCGATGTGCCCCATTACTTGACAACTTCCCCTAGGCGCTATTGCAAAAGGCCAAGGCCGAAACGGGAAGGTCCAGATTGCAAAGTTGCACACCCGCCTGACAGGGGCACAACACAAGGTTTCGCTCCAAAAGGGCATTCCTCTCTAGACACATCCTGTAGGGGCATTTTGGCATATATATGGGGGTATTTTGCAAATTTATCTGTTTTATTTATAAAAACAATATCATTTCAATAATCAGAACGGAGACCGGGGACCTGAACTCCAAATAATGGGGGATAGGTACCTATGACATACATCCCCCCTGTCGTGTTCAAAGGTTATGTGATGCGCACATGTGCTGTAGTAGTAGTAGGGTACGTTGCTGCTACGGTCGTGAGAGCATTTGTTAGCCCAGGGATTCGCGCGCTGGCGGCTCATAAGATCGGGGCGTGTGTAATCCAAGACATGGAGATCGTGCTCCAAGTCAGTATTCATGCCAGAAAACAGTATGTTTAGGCGTGCTTTTCGCCCTCACTCCTTGCTGTGTGGCTGGCTGTCTGCCTTCCTGCCATCTTTGTCTCTATCATTTATCGATTTATGCGTGTCATCCCTGCGCAGGGGCCATGCTGATGTTCTTTCTCTGTATCGTTCCAATTTTAACGGATGTCCCGAAGGACTTCTTTGCAACAAATAAAAATAGCGGCACAGCAGTCCCAATTTCCGATCCAAACGCGCCTACCAGATTGATATCTATCTTTTACGGTTCTCCACAGCCATAATGTGGGTAAATTCTGGCCGGGAAAAGACGGCAGCTCACACACACACACACACACACACACACACACACACACACAGAGAGAGAGAGAGAGAGAGAGAGAGAGAGAGAGAGAGAGAGAGAGAGAGAGA